GTGCGATCTATTTTGAAGCAAATCTGCGTGCTATTGTTGATCACATAGCTTTCTCAAAGTATACGTCTCTTCTTTATTCCAATTGTTTCGTAATTCCTTTTTTATCTCAAAACATGAGTGATCAAAACCAGGTGACCTCCCATTATACATCAACGTTAATTCTAACCACCCTCCTAGTATAATTAAATCCATACCAACTATGATATCTAACCGTAAAAGCAATATTTCATCTAGCAAAGAAGTTTTCGATAGAGCAACATCGTTTTATAACAATGCGAATCCAAAATCAAGATCACGAAACATTATTTGGTTTAATCCTCCGTTTTCGCAAAATGTAAAAACCGCAAAAATTTTTCTAAATCTAATTGAAAAGCATTTTCCAAAAACACATAAGTTTCGCAAAATTTTTAATAATTTAAAAGTCAGTTAAAGCTGTCTTCCAAACTTCACCAATATTATTAACTCACACAATAAAAAAGTATTATCTAATGTTTCCAACACAATTGTTCCAACATGTAACTGTCGGCAACCTTCACAATGCCCTTTACAAGATACGCGTCTTAGTAAAAATATAATTTACGTCTGCAATGTAAAAACATCAGCACAGGAAAGTGGTTTAAATTATATTGGTTTAACAGAGCACACCTTTAAAGATCGCTGGTACAAGCATAAGAGCTCCTTTCAATACGACAGTAAAGCTAACGCCACAGAACTTTCTAAATATATCTGGGAAATTAAAAAATAGGGATTTTCAAATCCTATTCTTACGTGGAAAATTATTGATAGGGCAGAACCTTTTAAACCCGGAAGAAAGTTATGTAAAAGTGAGTTTCCACTCATCCGTTTTTCACGGGAACGGGATAGCAAAGGGAAAAATAATCACGTGAGCATACGTAGTTTTCATTCGGACATATTAAAACTTATACTACGCATGCCCACGTGATTATTTTTCCCGTCCCTTTCCCGTTCCCGTAAAAAAACGGATGAGTGGAAACTCGCCTTAACCTTTGTTTAACGGAAAAATACCATATTATTACATCATCATTGAAACTGTTAAATAAGCGAAATGAATTAATATCAAAATGTGGCCACGAAAACAAATTTGTTATCTTCAACTTTAACGTCATCTATGCAAAAACTGTATTGTATTTTTGTATATAATTTTTGTTGTTGTTATGGTTTGTAACGTCTGATGGTTGCGTGAAACTCTGAGTTATGTTACAAATTTAATTTTATTATTATTTTAAAATAATATATATATATATATATATATATATATATATATATATATATATATATATATATATATATATATATATATATATATATATATATATATATATATATATATATATATATATATATAGACGGTATAAAATGACTAGATTATTTTATATTGCTTTTGATTATTGTAAAGAGCAAAATAAGGTTGGAAACACTATGGAGACTTTTTTTTACAGTTAACTTAAAAAAGTTTGATTAAAAAATCGATTAAAAAAAACGACAACTCTAGCTTTACATGTTTTTAGTTGTGATTTTATATATACAAATGAAAATATTTTTTTTGCATAATTTCATACAGTTTTTCTTTATTAGTTATAAAAAGATCCTCAAACATTGATAGTTTTAGAGAAAACCTTTTTTTGACCTTAACCTCATTTTGAAATATAAACAAAAATGTCGCGAAATTCACAAAATCTTTTCTATAATTATGCACATTGAAAGCCATAATTACCCCTTAAATCAATAAAATTACTATCCAATACCAAAATATCACTAATATATATGTCTATCTACAAAAAAAGTTCCATTATTAAGAATTAAAAAAAGTTAAATTTGCAAAAAGAAAATAAACTGTTTTTTGAAATATTTTTCAACAATAAGTTGAAATCTATCCTAAAAATAAAATCCTTAACTCTCTGCCCTTGAATTGTATAGGGTAGCCTAGCCACGGCTCTGTTAGCCATTATTGCACATTGAATCACAACCTTGACAATGCGATTGTGATATATTCCAACATTAACAAACTTTTTTTGATGAAATGTCAATTGTAAATAAAAAATTAAATGCTTAGTTTTATAATCATAAATCATTATAATAAATTATAATCAAATAATCATTGTTTAGTTGCTGAAAAAAATTAACTTGATAAAGTTTATAAAATCAACGAAAGGCAAAAACACTTTTTGAATCATTGAATGATTGTTCAAAATTATTGTAGCCAAAGTGAAGTAGCCAAATTATTTCCATAAAAGACATTTGACATTGCATTTGATACTTTTAACTATAGGTTGAAATTAGTACTATAAGAAAATTTAAACTAAATTACACATGCGAATGATATCTATTTATGTCCAATACTCATATTAACCAGTTATATGTAAATACGAACATAGAACTCATATAAATAATTGGTTCAATGCAAGTATATTGTCAATTGATGCAGATAAAACTCGATATACATTATTCCGTTAAAAAACAAGAAAGTGTATCACTTAAGTTACTTGATCTAATAATTACAAACGATAAGATAGGTGGCTGCAGCCGCTTAGTAGCTATAGAGTTGTCGTTATGTAGTAGCTAGCGAATAAGCTACAATATGTAGCTATCGATATATCATAATAAAATTGCTTGCTAAAAACCTACAATATGTAGCCATCAACTAGCTTTAGATTAGTCTTTATTTTGTACTTAGCTACATACACGATATTTAGCAACCGATATTTTGTAATACTGTAAGCTACGAAGCTGCGAAATATAGTCATCAACTAACTACAAAATTGTCGTTATTTTGATTTGTCGCTATGTAACTACAATCCTACAAAATGTCGTCAACGATATACCGTAGTAATATCGATAGCTACAAAGTGCGATACCCGGATATGGCAAAAAATCATAATGATTTAAGTTCCATTATAGTCATAAATGTATTAGATTCTATATTAAAAATCGAATTTTTTATGATTTAAAAAACAAAATGAAACAATGAGAAAAAAAAAAAAAATCGTTTAAAAATCGCAAAAAAGATATAGAGATATAGATATATATAAAAGATATATATTCTCTATTTATTATTTATGTTTGTCTAAATGCTCGTCCTGTTTGCAACAATTGTTGAACACAGTTTAAGCGGCAAAAAGTAAAAAGTAATTAAAAAAAAAAGTAAAATAAACTAATAAAACTAAATTATTTATTGAAACAGCAGAAAAATATTGATGCATCATGTACTCGATTTTGTAAAGAACTTACTTACTCAAAATATTTAATCTTACATTACTCAAAAAAAGATTAAAGTTTTTAATAATGTCTGCTGTCGAGAAGAAGAAACATCAACACAGTTTTTCAGTTTAGATAAAAGCAAAAGAATATTCAAGATTTCAAATTGCTATTAAATGACACCAAAAAAAGAGCATATGTTTTACATTAAATATTGAAAATAAAATAAATTGAAATTTAAAAAAATCAAAGAGTGCTAAAATAATAATTTCTAGCAGCTGTGGTGACGAAAAGGTTAGAGCGCTGATTTCATAACAAAAAGTTCAAAGAAACTAAACCTGCAATCGAGTTATTAACCAAATTTATTATAAACTAAAGGTTTATTTGAAAATTACCTTGTTCTACTATATATATTTATCTAATTAAAAAAGTTTGGAAATTTTAAAGCACTTGCTTTGTAAACTTGCAAAAAAAATATTAAAGGTTTTTGCTCCTGCTTTTTCATCAGAACAAGTGTTTACTAGAGCTGGAAACATTGTCAATTACCACTAAGATACTAGGATACTTATAAGTAGAAAATTATATTATTAAAAACTTTTTTCAAATAATTTCTGTCTTTTCCATAAATAAACTCAACTAATTTAGAATTCAGTATAAACTAACAAAAGAATTTTGACCAAATTCAAACAAACGGATTATATAAATTAATTTAGAAAATTTCGGTGCAACACTTTATGCTAATAAAGTTTTGCTTTCATAATTATTACATAATCTTAAATGTTATACTACTTTTACATAATCCTATATGTTTCATTATTTTTATTCAATGACTTTAATATTACCCAGTAGCACACCAACGTTAGAACGGCATTAAATAGGGTTGTTATTTAAGTTTGTGTTGGATTTACGTTGGAAATGGGAAGGAAGGATAACGTTCGATTTTCCAACGTTATAACGTTAGATTTTCCAACGTTAATCAACGTTGTAATTTCAATGTAAAAGCAATGTGTTTTTTAAGTAAAAGTTGGTAGTCATCAGGACTCGAGCCCCCGATCACACGCTGCTCTGTACATCACACTTTTCAATACGCTACACAAGCATATTGTTAATATATATAGTAACAATTATATATATATATATATATATATATATATATATATATATATATATATATATATATATATATATATATATATATATATATATATATATATATATATATATATATATATATATATATATATATATATATATAGTATTAATTTTAAACATAGTAAAATTCACTTTATTTTAGTGGAAAGTTAAAATTATTAATTATAATTTAAAATTATATTTATTTTTTAAAAATTAAATATTCAAAAAATTTGTTAGCTCAAGAAGAAATATTTACATTTTAATCACATAAATATATTTTGTTCACATAAGTATTTACCTTCTCGAATTATCGACAAAATTATTATTGAAAAAAAATATGGAATATGAGTATAGCTTACTATAACTCTGATAAAAAATTACGTTACTGTAGCTAACGTTATTAGAACGTTGTAACTCTGATGAAAAATAACGTTAGTGTAACCGACGTTATTACAACGTTGTAATTCTGATGAAAAATAACGTTAGTTCGTCGGTGTTGCCTAACATAACCCAACAAAAATCCAACGTTGGATCAACCTCGTATGCCCACTGGGTAGCCACCTTGTTTTTACAATTTTAAATTTATACCCAATGTCAGTTAGCTAAAAAATTTGAAGTATGATTGATCTTGTAGGAATTTTTTAAATGCAGAAAATAGAATTTTTTTAAAAAATGTTATAGTCTGTTAATTGCGTCTTAATTATTCACATTATTTTTATATTCAGTGATATTACAAAGTTTTTCAGTGGTACTCATTAGTTCTTTATTTAGCAATTTTAAATGCTAAATTTTTTTATGGTTATAACTGTTGAAATATTTTGCAGTGTTATTTATTATTATAAATAGACACGTTTGTTACTCTAAATAGAGGCGTATAATTTCAACTAAAATGAACATTTACGAGGTTTGAGAAATTCAATTTTTTTTTTTATTACAACTATTTTTTTTTTTTTCATTTTTTATTTATATTGGGGTTTAATGTTATATAATCTAGTTATAGTAAATGAAAATTAAATATTTTACATACATTGAAAAATATAATGTATTATATACAATATTCAATATATTTTTCGAGATTTTATAAATTTAATAATCCAAAAACTGTTGACAAAAACTTTAGAATTTTTTATTTAAAAAATTGTTAAATTACTAAATTGCAATTACTTGCTATAATTGACGAAAAACGACGTTGCTATCATTAACGATAAACTACGCCTAACTCGAGTGACATAATCAAGTGGTCACTTGTTGAATAAAAATTGCTTAATGTCAACATGAAATAGTGTAAACATAAAATTTTTTGAGGTGTCCTGAAAATTTTAATCCATTAGTTAAATGTTCTTTTGTTTATTTTAACAAGCGGCTGCGTGCGACACATTTTGTAGACCATATACAAACAATTAGAGTAGCATGCGCAAAACTTATTGTTTATATTAAAAAGTACGGTAATGTTAAACACTTTAATCTTTTTAGAATTCCTCATGTGAGAAAATTTTTTTTACTGATTTTATTCTAAAAGTGGAAATTGGTGAAAAATGGAAATTGATAAAAACGGAAAACGGTAAAAAACGGAAAACGATAAAAAACGGAAAACGATGAAAACTAAATTATTAAAGATAAGAAAAAAACATTCCGATGGCTGGTTGCAGCAATCATTAAAACAACTTGACTTTTTTTCACCTGTTTTTCAATTTAAGAAAAAAGAGTGTAAACCTCCGTTATTGATTGTTGTTTTGCAAAAGTAGAAATTTCAAAAATTAAGTTTTTTTATTATCAGGTTATTTAAAATTAATATTTTTATAACATATTTTCCTATAGTGCACCAATATATACAGAAACATATTCAGTTGCAACTTCTTAAAACGAACTACATATGGGCAAATCCGCGTGAAATAGGAAATAAAAAGGAAAAAAAATTATAAAATCACACAGAGTTGATAATGCCACCCGGCGGCAAAGTAACTTTCTGCCGAAAGGCCGACTTTTTAAGGAGGCGGAAGCTGTTGGCGGCGGCCTCCCGATCAATTTTTAGCGGCAAAATGTTCTTTCTTCCGCTTCCAGTAGCTTCTGCTTTTCTATTTGCGGCCGCAGCCGGAGTTCTTTTTTGGAGGCAAAATGTTTTGGAGGCCGACGCCAATAGAGTGGCGGAAGCCAATGGTGGCCGCCTCCAGAAAAAATTTTGGAGGCAAAGCCATTTAGAGGCTGCCCCCAATGGCTTCTGTCTCCTAACTGGCTGCGGCCGTCAAATTGGAGGCGGAAATATTTGCCTCTCGCCGGCGGATGTAATGAAAAATAATTGCTCGTTTGCTTTAAAGCAATTAAATATTAACTAGAAACAAATGTTAAATACTTGTTGTAATAAATAAACTTGTTGTAACAAATAAATAAATGTTAAATAAATTAACTTTATTAATTTTTAATAATGTTAAAAGATGTTGTGTTTTTCAAATATTTTTACAATATACAATGACAAGAATTAATAATTTAATGTTATGGTCGAAAAATTAAAGTTTTTGCGTGACGTAAGGGCGACAAAATATCAAACGATCAAAAACTTTAATTATTTGTCATAAACTTTTTTTTTTTTTGCTTAAGGCATGTAAACAAAATTTTATTTTTTAATTTTTGTTTTGAAATAAAAATTACTAATTTATTCGATAATAGTAGATAAACAACCGCTCTGACAAAGTTATAGTTTTTAAAAAAATAATTTTTTAAATTGTCAATAAATAATATAAAATAAAACTTTGATGTCAAGTATTTAACATTTTTTTTTAGTTAATGTTTAATTGCTTTAAAGCAAACGAGCAATTATTTTTCGTCACACCCGCCGGCGGGAGGCAAAAATTTCCGCCTCCAATTTGACGGCCGCAGCCAGTTAGGAGGCAGAAGCCATTAGAGGCGACCTCCAAATGGCTTTGCCTCCAAAATTTCTTCTGGAGGTGGCCACCATTAGCTTCCGTCACTCTATTGGCGTCAGCCTCCAAAACATTTTGCCTCCAAAAAAGAACTCCGGCTGCGGCCGCGAATAGATAAGCGGAAGCCACTGGAGGCGGAAGAAAGAACATTTTGCCGCTAAAAATTGATCGGGAGGTAGCAGCCGTCTGATGCGGAAGAAAAGTGGAGCCAAGAAGATTTACGCTGTTTATCAATACTGCTAAACTCCAAATAGTTTTAACTATTTAAAAATACTTTTAAGCAAAAAGTTATTAAAAAAATAACTCATAAAAAAATAACTTGTCATCAAAATCTATGATCTATATTGGCTATACTAGTTATTGAAAATAATTGTTTTGGAAAAAGAATTAAAAAATGAGATTCTTCTCTATTAACTAGATAACTATGAAATAAAAAGCAACAACTTAACAACAACTTATAACGGCTTTGCTCCTATTTTAATAATTGAAGGCAAGCATTATCGTGTGGCAATACAGTTACATTACCTAAAAATATTACTGTTGGGGTCCCGCAAGGATATATTCTAGGACCATTGCTATTTCTTGTTTATATTAATGATATTTTCTTATCTTCCAATAAACTCAACTTTTTTCTCTTTGCTAACAATAGGCAAGTATTTTTTAGAGACAAAAACATTAGCCTAATGTATAAAACAGTTAATCAAGAACTAGAAAATCTAAACGAATGGATTAAAGACAACAAACTCTCGCTAAACGTAGAAAAAAGCAAATATATTTTTTTTACAAAATTTTCTGGTTCCAACAGCCTCCCCTTAAAACTTCCTGAACTGCTTATCGACAAAACTAAACTTTGAAGAGAATACTCACTCAATTTTTTATGTATAATTCTTAATGAAAGTGTTAGCTGGAGTAATCATATCAAAAAGTGGAAAAGAAAATGTCTTAAATTATTGGAATTATGTAAAAATCTAATTGAGAAAAACTAATTGAGAAAAAAGATCATCGACACTAAAGTCATTCAGAATGAAATGGTGCCAATAACTTCATCTTTTTTAATGGATGGATAATTTTTAACCGCAGCAACCGTTTCATTACAGTAAATTCGTAAACAAGTGTCAACTTTTTGTCGCCTAATTAGTTTTGGAGAGATGGAAATTTCATTTAATTTTCTAAGTTTTAAAAAATTGGCAGATTCCACCTCATATTCTTGAGTCCTTAATACAAGAGGGGTGCGTGGGATGGGTGTGGGTGGTAATAAAAGGAGGGGGGGGGGATTTTAGTCCTATCTAGCGTGGCTTGCAGTCAAACGCGCATTTTCTAACATCTGTTTTAATAATTTCTATATAAATAGGATTTAGTATGCTGATGTAAGTTTAATACTTTGGTAAGAAATAACTTTTTTATTTTTTTTTATTTTTTTTTTGTTTTGCCATATAAGTATATATTCATACAATCAATATTTCAGTAAAAATACAATTGGCCGGGGCAAGAAGAAGACACAATTTGTCTTATCACCAAGCCCCGAGAATTGACTGCGTAAAATAAAAATTATTGCTTACAGCATATATAATTGTAACCAGTATATAAGAAATAAGATTTTCTGGTAATAAATATATAAAAATAGTAGAAATATATAAAAAGAGTAATAAATATATAAAAAATAAAGTTTTGCAACATTTAACTTGTGAAAAATTTATACTATACTTTTGAAAAATCAAATAAAAAGTTACAAATTAAAAAAAATAAAATGTTGGTTTAACTTCTTTAAAATAAGAATAAATAAAAAGATGTTAATTAATTAAGATTTAATACTAATTAATATTATTAATCAAAAGTAAAGTCGATAAGGACCTGAATCTCTCCATAAAAATATATATATATATATCTTTAAATATATTGGTTATGATTGCCTAAAGTGACAAAAGGTTGGAAAGATAAATTTTAAAATAAATTGAAAAAGCTTATCTGTACTACAAGATAACTTTAGAAGAAGTCATGCATTCCGTCACTAACTGGAAGCATTTGTTTTAATTTTGCTTTAAATTCGTTAAGAATTTCATGAGTTTTAAGTTAAGAAACAATGCCTAGTTGCTTTAAAGATGTATACCCTAATACTCATGTAATTATAGACTGTACAGAAATATTTAATGTGATGCCAACTAGCTATCGCACTCAGTCAGCAATGTTCTCAAAATATAAACATCATCACACAGCAAAGGGTTTGATTGGTATTGCACCGAGTGGTGCCATTACATTTGTTTCTGATTTATATGCAGGAAGATCAAGCGATAAACAGATAACAAATCACTGTGGCATACTAAAATTATTAGAAAAAGGTGATAGCATGATGGCAGATAGAGGTTTCGATATCGTAAATGACTTACCAAAAGGAATAAGTCTCAACATACCACCATTTCTTGAAGGCGATTTTCAACTTACTTTGGAAAAAGAATTAGAAACAAGAAGAATCGCATCTGTGCGAATTCATGAGGAACTTACAATTGCAAGAATCAAAAACTACAAAATATTACAAAACACATTTCCACTTACAATGGCTGCTGACATGAACAAAATATGGGTCATAGTTTGTTATTTAGTTACTTTTCTACCACCTCTAATAAAAACTGATAGCAAATAATGTAACCAGACAAAAAAAGAAACATTTTATAAATATTGTGTAAATATTTATTTTACTTTAAATATTTCTGTTGACATAAATTTGAAATAAAAATCTGTTAACTCTGGAAAAATAATTGTATTCGATAATTCCGCATCATATTCTATCATTTCGATGTGCAATGACTTTTCTTGTGTATACAATAAAATCAATTGTTTTAGTTTCTGTTAGTGCCATAATGCCTTGACACTGATAGTAATAAGGATGGTTTATTTTTAATTTTGGAGCACCATTGTTAAATTTTAAATAAAAGTTTTTATCTTGACACGCTTCTTCAATTGTTAAATGTTTTTTTGAAGAAGGACATTTCACTTCAAGTACTTTTTCAGCGCTAACTTTATGCGGTAGTGGTGTAGTGGTAGAGCGCTCGCTTTATAAACGAGTGGTTCCGAGTTCGACCCCACCACGTCCCTGGTAGTACCGCGCTCAACTCGTTTCTCCGCGCAGCGGCCTTGTTCATCAAGGTTCGTGTTTCGGAGTTATAGAGTTGAGAGAGGGTTATAGCCACAAATAAGTAGCCTCCTCGTCTGTAGTGGCCTTCTCGGCCTTGAGGAGGTGAATTAAAATAAAAAAAAAACAAAAAAAACTACTCCATCAGGGCTACAACCCAACCAAAGGCATTTTGGGTTTCTAAAAAAACCACATCAAGTAACACTTGACTTCGTTATGCTTTCATATAGTTTTATTGCTATATCTTCATTAACCTTTCCCCACATACAGGTTTCTCCTACTTTGATATTTTCAGTTTGTAAACAATTTTTTAAAATTGATGTTGGGTAAATTTTTCTTGATACCATAATATACTTTTAGATTGTTTAACTGTATTGACTTCAATATTTTTAGCTTCCTCAATGTCAACAATTAAATGCAATTCTACAAATGCTTTTTGTTCAGTTGACAAACAACTTGAATCAATCATATTTTGTAAATTGTCAAATAGAGTAATAATAATCAATCTGTCATCTTTTTTACTAAAAGGTTCTGCAATATCATTGTCTATAAATGTTGACAGAGATGAATTAAAAAAGGAACATGCCTGAAAGTTATTATCACGAATTATTGAAGATATATATGTCCCCTGGCAGAGATTTTCTAAACCTTCACAAAGAGTTTGAAGTTGTAAAGTTGAAGTTTCGTAACAATTTGGTAATGAATGGTATTTACGTGTTCCTGAAACTAAAGGTCTTTTTTGAGTACTATTTTTGTCTTTAAAAGCATCAGCTTTTTGAAAACTTAAGTTTGAAAACAAAATTGCTTCAGAGTTAGATGATTCACCTGGTACATGCCATATCTGTAAAACATCAGTACATGTTTCGGTTTCTGGGACCACTTTAACGTCTAACTCTTTATAGTCAACTAGTTGATATAATGATGCAGCAACATGCTTACAACAGCCCCCAGCTCCAGCTTTACAATGGCATTTAGCATAAAGTATTTCACCAGTAGATTGGCACAAGTGTATAAAAACTTCGTATTGTTTATGTTTCATAGAAGCAGCAACATTAGACTTTACAATAAACAAATTTATGGATGCTGTTACATTTGCTTTAACACATACATTTTTGACATTTTTTCTTTAGATCAACGATAGCCAAGAGTTTGGTGTTTATTGGCTTCTTTTTTACAGTTATCAATATATATAGTATCATTAACAAGATATTTCTTGATAAAATTGTGAGATATATTTGGTAAAAGTGAAATGTCTCTTGACCAAGTTGATATACTCTTGTTTATAGATTCTTCTTCGTCAACAAAAACAAGTTCATCATGCTTAAGTTCCCGATACACAGCTTTAGATGCCTGGCAAGAGTTCTGAAAAGAACTAGCATCAATTTTATTTTCTAAATTAGCATTAAAAGAACTCATCATTATAATAATATTTAATTCCTAATACTTTAATCGGATTGTTTTGATTTAAATGAATACAACTACCACAATACATTGCGCTTTGCCAATTTATGGGAAAGGTCCATTGGTCGAAATTAAAAACTTCATTAATCGGTCGAATTAAAAAAGGCCTATAATCGGTTGATAATAATCTAGGCCTCAGTAGGACATCTAAAAATTATTTCCTCTTTTTAGTAGATCAAGTTTGTAGGTTTGTAGGCATAATTGATAACTTTTTGTTAGATAAATATGTTGTACTTTACAAAAATAATACCCTTTAACTGCCCAATTTTTCGTTGCTGAGTAAGTAACGCTACACAGTCGCTTAAAATATGTTTTTAGACCAATCGCTGTTGAGTATAACCATCATAAAAAAATAGTAAAAATAAAAAAAATACAAAATAACAAAAATACAAAAAAAATTAATAATAAAAAATTAAAAAGATTAAAAGATAAAAAAACAAACAAACAAACTGCCTATAGAACATTCTGCTAAGTCTATCTGTTATCGGGAGGGGAAAAAAGGAGGATTCGAAAAGGGAAAAAAGGAAACTCGAGGAGCGGAAGAAGGATCGGTTATATTAGCTATTGTAAATATAAATTAATGGCAAAAAATAATAATAATAATCGTATAACAAAAAATATTTCATATCATGTGAATCTATCTAGACTAAAGATATTTTATCGCGATGTCAAGGCCTGTATTTCTAGTAGGCCATGATTAATAGCAGTAGCACAAGCAAGGAAATCTGGTTTCTAAAATCGAAATTAGAAAGCACTAAAAAGAGTTCTATAGACTGTAGAACTCTCGTTAATATTTCCTAATTTTGTTGTCTTCCTATCTGCTAAAAAGTAGCATCATGCTAGAGTTATGCTGAGAGCTTTTAAAAACTACTCTGATCCCTATACTATAGGCTATAGCTATTGCCTAAACAGTTTTCTTACTAATATTAGAAAGTCAATTAACAAACAAGCCTTTAATTAACAAACTTCTAATACTTCGTTTTAAGTCCAATTTACTTTCTAAGATTCGATATATTTTTTAACCATGACGCAATGGTTATTGCTCTTAACATATCAAAGGCTTTCAATAAATCTGGGATAGTGATCCTTTCCATAAGCTTTCTTTACATGGTCTTTACATGTTTCTTATACACTTTTTTTTCTCTTGTTGCATTGTAGAGAATGTGAAAAGATTCCATTCCTGTTTCTTTATTGTTTTTACCCTGTATTAATGATATTCATGATAATCTTACCTCTTAAGTGGTTTTATTAGCTGATGAAACAGCTATTGATAAAAAGTCTTTATCTTAAATGTGATAAGGGTTATTATTCTCTTCTTTTTAATTATTTTAATGCTGTGCTCTTCTGTGAAAAGTTATTGCGATATTGTTGATTTTCTTATATTGATAAATGACATCACATTACCGGGTCTTTAACTTTACATTTTCTCTGGTAATTTTTCACTACTGATCTCTCATGAAAATAATGTATCCAATTGATTTTAAAGTTAGATTTGTTAAGATTTCCTCTTTTTATTAGGTTTATATATTTTTTTCTCCTGATATTCTCTACCTCTGTAAATTTTTTATGTTATTTGTATAAAATACTGTTGTCATGTTTGCGGTAATTTTTAATAAAGCTTTTTCTCTTTTGGTCGAGGTATAAAAACTGTAAAACAACATTTAAATTTAGTTTCATCTGTTCTAGCTGTCAAGCATTCTTGTTCAAAGGTCGCTTCATTTTTTCTTCAAATACTACTATTGTTGCTGCTCAAGCATCTTTTGTTCTACTAACCAAAACACGGTATTGCATGGCTCTTCATGCAGCAAGATTTTTCATTTTACTGTTCCTATTTATGCTCAAAAATTTATTTATCTTGTTTTTTGCTTGAACAACAATAGTTTGAAAAGTTTTTTTGGTCACATGTTTTCCTGGCCTTAAGAGTTATTAGTTTTTCAAAATTCTCCATCTAAATGTATTAGTTGTTGAAAAAAATTTCAAAACTGAAAGCAAAAATCAGGAACAAAATGAAAGATTCAGAACTAGATATTTTAGCTAAAAAATGAAGTTAATGAAGAAGGTTTTGTGAACTTATTTTTTCAACATTGGATCTAAATTGCCTCAATAAATTATTTAGATTATTTTCTGAATGCACTTTTTGACATTGATTTTTGCAAAACTTATTTGTCAGTAATGATTGTATAGTTTATTTTCAATAGTATACTATTGAAAATGAACTATAACAATCATTATTCAATAATATACTATTGAAAATGAACTATACAATCATTATTGACAAATAACTTTTGCAAAAATCAATGTCAAAAAGTGCATTTGGAAAATAAACTTTAAAAATAAATATTTATCTAAAGAATTTATTTTGTTTTTTATTATACAAAAATGCTGTCATACCATTTTAATTTGATCAATTTTTGCTAAAATTAGACTTTTCTTAGGCCAGGGGCTAGGTTTGGTGTTAGATGAGTTAGACAGTATTTAAAAAAAAAAAAAAAAGTTGGTTACATAAAGAGAATATATTATGATGCTATTAATATAAATATAACTTCAAAATAAGTAGGTTAATTTTATTAAAATTCATTTTTCAAATTCATCTTATTAATGATGCTATTATTATAAATATAACTTCAAAATAAGTAGGTTAATTTTATTAAAATTCATTTTTATAATTTTGCATTTAATTTTATTAAATTGGTTATAATTATTTTTATAATTAAATTTTACTCTATTTAAATTATTTTATAACTTAAGGCTGCTAAAAATGGAAATATCACAGTTCTTGAGCATTTAATTGAACGAATATATCGCAAACATGCAGATGTTCGTGGCAGAAGAGAAGCTCTTTCTGCAACAGATGCTTACCATTTAACACCTTTACATTACGCTGTCAAATATGATCACCTAGATGCTGCTCAAATTCTTTTAGACAAAGGAGCAGGTAAAAAAAATTGAAATTTTTTTGTTGTTGCTATAATTTCCATACTTTTATTTATAACATAATTACTACTTTTTTAAGATGTCAATGCAAGTGGTGATTATGATGTCACTCCATTACATTATGCAATAAGATTCATGGTAAAAGGTAAAAGTTTTTGCATAGATAAAAGCTACTTTGTACAATAGTCTCTTTTTAAAGAGCAAAAGTCTTTTGGTAAAGGTTGACTTTTTAACTTTTACTGAAAGTTTTATTTTTTTGAGATAACTATAACTTGATTTAGATTGTTCAATGATGCAACTTTTAATTTCGAATAATGCTACCATAAATGCTAAGGATAAGTTTAGTTCCACTCCACTTCATTATGCATGCTTAAAAGGAAATGTCAAGGCTGTTAAGGAACTTTTGAAAGCTAAAAATGTTGATATAGAGGTAGTTTTTTAGAATTTACTTTAAAGTAAAACTATTTCTGTAAAGTGTGTTTGTACAATATGGGAACAACATTGTTGCCAATTAATTTATTTTATTATATATATATATATATATATATATATATATATATATATATATATATATATATATATATACATATATATATATATATATATATATATATATATATATATATATATATATATATATATATATATATATATATATATATATATATATATATATATATATATATATATATATATATATATATATATATATATATATATATATATATATATATATATATATATATATAGATATATAGAATAAATCGGTAATCAAATAATATATATAATAAAAAGTAGATTTTTCAATTTGTAAACAAATTATTATAAAATTTAATATGAAATATATGATCCCTCAATCAAAAACATTAAAGACATAATTTAATAAATTTTACTTCTATTTAAACTTATTCAAATTAAAAAATCTTTTTAAATATATAACATAAATATTGATAAAAAATAGAAATACTTGTAGGGTTATAAATTAGAAAAAATCAAGCAAACATTACACTTTAATTTCTTAATTAAACTTATTGTGATAATCATATTATTCTAGATTATTATTCGTACTAATTTTTTATTATATTCATAATATGTTTTGATTCTAACATGTATAAACCAAAGATAAAAAAAAACAAACAAACTTATATCCCTGAAACAAAAAGCTAAAATATCAGAACCTTAAAAACTAAGATAAAGATATTAGTAGTAGCAATAATAGTTAAAGTAAGAATAAATGAAACCATAATTACTCTTTACTAAAAATGGAAATAAAAGCTTAAATAGATTTTTGAAAGTCACTAATAAAACAGATAAACTGAATGATGCTATTTATATTTTAATTAACTAAATGCTAAAATTTAGTTTATAATGAGCTACAAATCTTTTGTAATAAATAACAATTGCCTATTGACAATCCCTCATAAATTTTTAGGTTTAAAAATCACAGTTGGTTCACAGAATTTTATGCAGAATTCAATACTATTTTTATGATTCTCTCAATTCTGTCAGTGCTGCGCATACAGTTTAGAAATGTAATTTTTAAACATAATCTTAATGAAAAAGTACGTAAAAGTATTAAGGGCCCCTCTCAACTTAAAATTAAGAAACTTTTTAAAATAACAACTTAAGTAATTGCTTTTGATGGATTTAACCATAGATATTGGGTAAATAGATATCTTTTATAAATAAAATATTTTAATAGATGTAATAACTTTACTAATTACATCTATGTGCGACTATAATTACTTTTACCGACTTATTTCTTTAAATAAATGTGCAAAATTATTATTTATGATTAATACATTATATATAGTTAAGTATCTAATTGTTATCAATAATATCAAAAACTAACAATCTTAAAAACACAGGAAAAACAATAACAAGAAAAAAAAAATGTAAATGCCAATCATAAAATAAACTAACTGTTTAATGTTTTTAGATGGCTTTAACATCCAACTAAAAAAGTTTAAAAAACTTACCCTAAAGTATTCTCATGGGACAATCATAGTTGATAAAATAGTATAGTGGAGTAATTGAACAAGAAATTCTGTCAATATTAATTGTGGCATCATAAAATACCTAATGGCTTAATAATAAGGTAAATTGGTTGTACTGATGGTAGAGTGTTTCTATTTCAAATTAGCCAGAAAATTTTAAAAATATCACTCTATATATCAGATTTTGCTAATTTTTATACAGTTGAGAGTACTTAATACAATAAAGAATCTTTAAAATTTTAGCCTCTGGCTCCAAGAAGATCCGTAAATATGATCCATATATACATAAGAAGATCCATATATACATTTTACTTTTAGTAAATGTTGGCCAGGTGTCTTGTCCCCTAAGAATTGTAACGTCTTGAGAGGTTTCAAGTTACATAACTTTAAAAATATTTGATCTTTTTACTTAAAAATTTGTACCTGGCAAGAAACCCATATGGCCTTGATGATATCAAAATTTTACATATTATTCTATATTTATTGATCTTTCATAAAACATAAGGATTTAAATTTGTAAGCATATGGATTTCCATATATGGGCACGATCCCCATTTTTTTGTAGCGGAATGTTGCAATTGATTTTTCACTAGCTTCCAGACTAGCTGGAGCTCTGAAACTTTAGGCATTTATGTAATGCCAATGAACATGCACGTTAAAGTTGTTTCCAGGCCCAAAACATTAGGGGGAGGGGGTTGGGTCATGTGTCCAATTTTTTTTTAGCAGAATCTTGCAATAGATTTTTTACAACTTTCAAGACAAGAAGCTCTAAAATTTTTAGCATTTATGTAGTCCTGATAAACAGTGTTAAAATTGTTTCCAGGGCAGAAAACCAAATGATCCATGAGGCTGGGGCACCAGGGTACATGCCCCACCTTAAAAAAAATATATATATATTTTTTTCCTACCTAAACAAAGTAAAGATTTTGATTTATACTTGTACCATTTGTTTTTTGATCATTCTATATTCAATGATCTTTTTTAAAGTATTTTGAGAAAGTTCATATGTTTATAAGAGTTTTGATTTGCAAGTATACAGATTAAAAGCTGTTTTCTATCTAAAATAATGATTTTAACAGAGTTTTACTTAAAATTTAAATGTTAAGTATTAAACTTTTTGAATTGAAAAAAGTTGATACTTTTTAATGCTGTTTGTTTGTGCGCAAATTGGATTTGTTTGAATTCTTTTTCTTTTTCATTCGTCATTATCACTATGAATATTTTCCAATAAAAAGATAAGAAATATACCCACTAGTTAACAGTGTTTTACCTCCTGTCATAACTTAGAACCACAAGCTTAGAAGGCTACCACCCTGAAGAACAGTTAATTATGTCTTATTGTGAATCTATTAGTTTTATTAACACAAATGCTAGCAGAAGTTTAGATGTAAGTTTTTACATCTTTTTTTGCATATTCTACCTATTCAAGTCAGGCAATGTATGTATACTCCCATCAATAAAACAAAAATAGTTCAAAGTATATATAAAAACAATTTAAAATTATATTAAAAAAAAAAAAAAATCAATAATTTAAAAAAACTTTCTAGTTATAGTAATTGTGTTTTTAAAAAAATGATTAAGCCTAATGTACCTAATTAAAACCTAATGCAAGTATCTAATCACTTCAACATTAAAGTGACCATTAAATGTTGCTTGAATGTTGATGGTTGCTTAAATGTTAAAAGTAAGCATTGAAAAAGACTTTTTAACAATTATATTCTCTTTCATGTATATATATATATATATATATATATATATATATATATATATATATATATATATATATATATATATATATACATATATATATATATATATATATATATATATATATATATATATATATATATATATATATATATATATATATATATATATATATGTATATGTATATGTATGTATGCATTTGTATTTATAATAAGTTCAACATTACTTTAATTTCAAGGCTAAAGATCAGTTAAATTCAACCCCACTGCACAGTTGCTGCATCAATGGTAATATTGCTATTGCAAAAATGTTAATTGATTGCAATGCAAATATTGTTGCTGTAAATGATGCTGGGTTTACACCACTTCATAATGCTTGCACCCAAGGTAATATTGAGGTAAGTCCAATACTAATATTAATTTTAATAATAATAATAGCAATAATAATAATAATAGTAACAATAATAATAATAACAACAACAACAACAACATCAACAACAACAACAACAACAACACAAGTATAATAGTTTAGAATAGAAAATTTTAAAAAAACATGTATATATATCAGAATATTTAAAATTTAATTATTAAAATTTCCAGACTATTTAAATAACCACTAAACTAAAACAACAAAGTAAAGAATATCAAAACAGATTAAATTACAATAAACATAAGTCAGAATAATAAATATAAAAATTAAAAATTGCAATTTCTTACATTGGAAACTACAGAAATTGTATATTTATATTTGTATACGTATATTTATATTTTTATATTTGTTTTGATAACACAAATGTTTTACAAACATGCTGTTTTGGTTTATAATATGTTTTTTGTTAGATTTTTGAACATTAGCTTTGCATGTAAAAGTACAAAATATTGCTGCATACAAAGACAATGAAAAAAAAAGATGTTTCGGGCTCTCATTTACAGCAATTATTTTTTTTTTATAAAAACTTAAAAAAATATAAGTTATGCTATATAATCTACTTTGTTTTACCCTTAACAGTGACAAAAGCATAGCTTTGTTTGGATAGAAATCCATGGATAGAAAACTGACTCAATACGCACAAGCCATTTATACCCACCAAAAATTTAAAAAGTTATTATTTTTTTTTAAATTTTAAATTTATTTTTATTTTTACTTAATTTTTTTATTATTTTAAAATTTTATACAATATTTACTTTTTACATAAACTTTTTACAGTTTTTGAATAAAACTATTTAAAAAGTTTTAATATCTAAAAATAAATAATAATTAAATACTACAAATATTGAAAAATATCTGAAAATAAATAAATAATAAGTAATTACTAGAAATATTGAAAAATATCAAAGGGAGTAGATGTAAGGAGCTTGTTTTGTTTACTTTAAAAGTCAAGAAGTTAAAAGTTGAGCTTTTATTTGAAAAATACAGTAAACATTAAAATTGTCATAACAAAATTTAATGCAGTTTTTAGAAACAATTACCACATTTATATTTGTCATTATACATAGTAATAGTAAACTTAATATTAATTTAAAAAAAAGATCAAGGTTGAAAAAACTTAATTTTTTTTTTTTTGTTTAGCGTTGGATTTGAACCCACTGTAATGTTTAAATTTTGACACTAAGGACAGCTCACTTCACCTCTGAGCTACTGTTAAATATATGTTACTTCAAAAAACAAACAACTTTATAAACTTTTTTTATACTGTTTCTAATTAATCAACACTTCAAGCAAGTACTCTACATAAGTGTATAAATATTGCATAGCATCATTTCACAGAAATTTATAAAAGAAATACTTTAAAACCACAAAAATTTCTCAACAAAAAAAAAAAAAAAAAAAAATTGACAAAATTTAAATTAATTTCAACTAAGTAGAATTTTACTATTAATAAAATTGTAATATGCAAATATAAAAAACAATATGTAATATTCAAATGTGAAAAATCCACTTATATAATATTATGTACAAAATTCTGTAAGTGTAAACATCAGTACTACTGACAGTTGGAAAATTGAGTTTGCGAATCCTATATTTAAGGTTAGTGTATAACTAAAAAAAATATAAAATTTTTTTTTAACAATTGAAAGGCATTTTGGTTGAGTTTTTTTATTTATGTTATTGTATTTTTAAAAAATTAAAATTGACAAGATTAAAAAACATAAATATTTTCTTATCTTTTAGGAGGAATTGAATCTTTTGACTTTTCCTTCAACTTCTATTAAAGTATTAAGATGTTTTTTCAGCATAAGATATAAGATTTCTTATATTCTAGTATTTATATTATATTTTTATTTGTTCACCTAAATTAAATACTCTCTTTTTAAGTATATTGTTAGTTTTTTATTTCAATCTTAATCTACTATTAGTCAATTAAGCTTTTGTTTTAATAAGGTTTTTAAATTATACAATAAGTTATCAGTTTTCAACTATTCTTTTCACATTTTTTGTTTTCAAGATTATACTATATTTAGTTAGCAAAAATATTAATTGATTGCAATGCAAATATTGTTGCTGTAAATGATGCTGGGTTTACACCACTTCATAATGTTTGATACATTTTTGGTTTTATTTGTGGGGGTTTATTTTCTATTATTCTATTTTTGGGAGGTGAAAAATCTTTTAAATTCTTAATTTGAATTTTTTTATACTAAATTTGCAAATCAAATAATACTTTTTTGTATTTTTAAGGTTTTTGTTATTTTCTAATTGACATAATACTTTGTATATTATTAGTTAAAGACTTTTTTCATTTTCTATTTATTGTATTACTTTTTGATTGTGCTATCACTGTGTTGAATTTAAACCAGTAATTAAGTTTGTAAAATTATGTGTTTTTAATATTTCAAATATTTTGATTAATATTATTATTAAAAATTTATGAAAATATTATATTGTGTTATTATTATCTACTATATATAGTAAATATTATAAATTTTGTGCTACTAAACCTCCCCATTGAGTATAAACTTTCCAAAAAACCTTGATAAATCACTTACTACATTAAATATATATCGCTTACACACTTATTTGTTGATTACTAAGTTAATATAGCTTCATGTCATTGTCATTGGTCTTGCCTTGTCCTCATCAAACAATGGCTAAGATGCTGTCATGAAATTCTTTGAGGCAGAAAGGCTTTTAGTAAACATTAATCACATACACCAAATAAAATCTAGCAAAAACAACCAGATTTCGAACATCATACTTGTATCACTTCCAACTCCAGCAGATAAAGCAGCAATCATACAAGTTACCATAAGCAGTTACCATAATATCAAAAAGTATTGAGGTATCTTTACTTGAGAGGTTCAAACTCCTGCAGAACAAGCAAACTTCAACAAAGACCACGCCATTTTGAAAAAGAAAAACCATGAGTTAAACAGACTCAGACTCAGGCCCTTTCAGAACTATATCCTTCATAGGACTAGTGCAATTTGCTGCATTAATGTTATTCAATCAAACTCACAAAAATGGTATGTCTTTGCCTCACCTCAAGCTGCTATTGCAGTCTCAAAGCAGCCCATTATCTGTGCTACTAACATGGCAGCCAGCAACAACACTGATGTTAGATCGACCAGCGCGTTGACTACAACCCCCGAAATTCAGACCAAAACCAGATCAGCCAAATATCAAGACTATTACAAAAAAAGACACTGGAAACACAACAGTTTCAACCCCAACTAATCTACACTTCTAGACCAACAAGGCCCCTAGGCCCCTGCTCTCTAAACAGTGCATAAATAGAGGAGCTAACAGCAAGACTAGCAGCTATGCCAATAGAAAGCAAGTCGCACATCATGTTTTTTATGGAAACATGGTTTAATAAAATATTGGATAAAATCTTCAGTGGCTACCAGCTAAATTTAGTCCACATAAACAGCAGAAGAGGTAGAGTTGTTATCTGGCAATAGTGCAGCAGAGCTCAACAAAAATGATTGCATCAATAAAGCACTTTCTAAGCGGTCAAAGATTGAAAATGTTGGGCTTAACGACTCTTAAAGAATGCAAAATGCAAAGCTACCTAATTCATCACTCAAAAAAATTTCAAGTTCATTTTTTACGTGCCACAGGCGCAAAAACTAGCTAAATTAGTTTACAATCTGTAGTGCCTTGATAAAAAATGAATGAAAAATTACATTGATTGAGAACAGTTTTTAAAAAAACTGAGTTGTATGCCACTGGAAAGCTCTCCCACAACTATAGCTACTTTGTATGCAGCACAAGACTGTCAGAACGGAAGGGCCTGGTGCCCTACTTAATCAATCTTTTCATGTTTTTTTTTTTGGCTTTATTTTTTTGATCAATTACAGAATAAACTAACCTATTACCTTACCATTCAGAGAACATTGCACCAAATCACCGAGCTGCTAATGATTACACTAAATCATTAAAATAAATTCTTCTATAAAAGTTTAAAACAATAGTTATCAATATGCTATGACTCCAACTTTCCCTCTTGATAATTCTTCTTGCTAAAATTTATAGTTATAATTTAACTATTTGCTAAAATCAATATTAAAAACTGCTTAATCAAAAGCTTTTTTTATAGAGAGTTTAGTTACCCATGAACCTTTTTTCGGGTTCTCTTTTAGTTTTAAGATAAGTATATTAAAGTTTTTTGTGTAAAGAAATTAGCTCTCTGTTACCTGTTTTCTGGGTCCTTTTTTTTTTGCCAAATATACATAAGCCCGTACATATATATATATATATATATATATATATATATATATATATATATATATATATATATATATATATATATATATATATATATATATATATATATATATATATATATATATATATATATATATATATATATATATATATATATATATATATATATATATATATATATATTATATATATATATATATATATATATTATATATATATGTAAGCAATCTGACGTCATACTAAAATAACCTGCTGCTGGGGGCTTCAGTACATACATTGACTGACAAATAGCCTGACTCGCAGTGGAATGCTGCTACATCGACTAAGGGTTTGGGATAGGGCAGCAATTGTTTCATTCATCATTCTTCGTTTTTTTTCTTCTTTTTCTAAAAAAGCCGAATGGGTTAAGGTAAGCAAAAAAATTGAGCAAATGCTTATAAAAATATGCTTTAGTAAGTGTATATATATATATATATATATATATATATATATATATATATATATATATATATATATATATATATATATATATATATTTGTTTTAAGTTACTCAGCTACTTGTTTGAAGTGATGGAGAATCTTGATAAATCATTACTTCCTACTTTGATTTCAAGGCAAAATAAAGAAGGTCAATCTTTTATTCACCTTGCTGTTCTTGGTTCTTATTCTGCAATTGTTAAACTACTCCTTGAGAAAGGATGTGATGTAAATCAATGCATGGATGGAGAGGAGACCCCATTACATATAGCAACTGTAATCGGTAATATAGAAATTGTGGAGTTTCTACTTTTGCATGGTGCTGATGTTGAAAAAAGAAATTCAATAGGGAGAACTGCATTGCACAAAGCTGCCGATTTTGGGAAGTATGAGATTCTTGAGCTCCTGATCAGTAAGTAAGTATTAGTAGTTTCTAGGTTGTATGGTGATTTGTGTATTTAGTAATATTTTTCTTTACTTTTCTTTTTTTTTTTTTTTTTTGTATTATAACTTAATCTTTTTTTTTTTTTTTTTTTTTTTAATTCACCTCCTCAAGGCCGAGAAGGCCACTACAGACGAGGAGGCTACTTATTTGTGGTTATAACCCTCTCTCAACTCTATAACTCCGAAACACGAACCTTGGCGAACGAGGCCGCTGCGCGGAGAAACGAGTTGAGCGCGGTACTACCAGGGACGTGGTGGGGATCGAACTCGGAACCACTCGTTTATGAAGCGAGCGCTCTACCACTACACCACTACCGCATCTAATTAATCTGCTTTTATTTGATTTTTTATTTGATTACGCAAATTAATCTGCTTTTATTTGATAGTTATAATCCTTTATAACATCTTTTCTGTAAAAATTTGGGCAAAGTTAATATTTCATTTAAAAATATAGTGTAGATTTTCTTAATTCCAAACAAAGTGGCAGTGAAATTTGAAAAACTCCGCCTTTTGAATTTCAAGTTTATTAAAATAAACGAAAACTTTTTTAAGAAATTAAGACTCCACTGGAGGGAATAAAGCATATCAGATTGTTTTTAAGAATGCTCCACTGGAGGGAAAGCATATTGTTTTAACTTGAGAAAAAAGTACAAAAATTATATCAAAAACTTTCAACCAATTAAAAGGAAGAAAAAAAAAAAAATAATTGAAACAAACTAAACTTAAACTGAGTTCATCAATTATAAATAGTGGAAATGATGATTTTAAAAAGTGAATTTTCATTCAATTAGGACATATTTTTCTAATTCTAAACTTGCGTTATTAAATTTAAAACAATAACATTCTTTATTAAATTTTTAATAATTTATGAAGCATAGACCTCTAGCTTATAGTTTAATAAAAAATATTTTTTTTTTGCTAATATTTTCATTTTATTGTAAGGGTGAACATTGTACATTGTGTGCAATTTAAATTCCTGTGTCATGGTTTTATTGCAATTGATAAAGAAAATACTGTGAAGATTATTTTGAATAAGAAAACCCTATTAACAGGCAGGTTGCAGCCAAGAATTTCCCCTTTTAATCAAACTTGCTTTTTTGCAATTTAGAAATGTAGTTATTTATCATTTAAACAGAATGCATGTTTCAGACAATTTTTTCCACATTTACAGACAGGTAGCAATTCTAGCTTTACTTTACCACACTTATAGGTAGTAATCCTAGCTTTATTGTTTCACATTTAGGTAACAATCCTAGCTTTACTAAAATATTTAGTCTGAATTATCAGTTACAGTTGCAAAAAATAAAAATAGAGTTTTATAACAATTGCTGACACAAGAAATACACAATCAGTTCAAACAGAGAACAAAAGATTGTCTACTAAATAATCATTTAACTGTCACACTTACTGGTAGAAGCGATAAAATTTTACTAACAATTGTTGACAGTATTGGAGCACATGAACAACATAACAACATGAATAACATAACAACAAGATCAATAAACACTAATTACAGACTGACAAAATTAAATCCTCAAAGTCAACCTATAAAATTCTCTTTCACTTTAACACAGTGGTGCACCCTCAGTTTTTATATCTCATTTGAGTCGTCTGCTATGATAATCAGTAGTCCGGTGTAATAGTTTTTTTTGGTATTTTTTCTTGGGTGAAAATACTAAAGAAAAAAAATTTAAATGTCATACTTCTAAAATACCTTTATAAGGAAACGGTTTAATTAAAACGGTAAAATTAATTGATTTATTTATTAAATTAATTAAAGATTTTTTTTCATTTTTGTTGTAGTCGATATCTGTTTCGTATTGTTTCTTTTTGTCAATCTTACTAATGGATTTGTTACGTGAAGCAAAAAAGCTGAAAGCCAAAATCACAAAGAAACATTTTATAAATGGAAAAATATTCAATAATTCTCTCTTCAATAAAATTTAATTTAGTTGAATGTTTAAAACATTATGTTTTTAATAATTTAAACATTTTTCTTTTTTTTTTTGTTATTCACCTCCTCAAGGCCGAGAAGGCCACTACAGACGAGGAGGCTACTTAATAGTGGTTTTAACCCTCTCTCAACTCTATAACTCCGAAACACGAACCTTGACGAACAAGGCCGCTCCGCAGAGAAACAAGTTGAGCGCGGTACTACCAGGGACGTGGTGGAAATTTATTTTACTAAAACTAGAATGAATTTCCATGTGCATCATCTATTGTATTCTAATAATGATTGTGCATTTTGATAATATTTTTCATTTTGTTAATTTTGTCTAACAAAGTTTTAATAAAAATTTATTTTTTTAATGAAAAAATCAGAGAATGTGTTATTGATGATTCAACTGCTTTAAAAAAACGTGCTTTAATATGCAACAACAACATATAAAAAAACAGTACAGTCGCACTTTAAAATATTAAAGCGCTTAGCTTAGCCCCCCTTCACTATATCACTTTTCTCTTTGTTTTTTATCATTCTCCTTCGCACATTTTCAGATTATTTAAAGAAAGTTCTTTTTCTTTATATCTCTGCCAATATTGTTTTATTGGTGATTTTAATCCTGACACAGAATCGGTTGGATCCAACACCACTACCTATATTGGCTCTAAAGCTCACAACTTCTGTATTTCTCAATCTGGTACTCGGGTAGTTAACTTTGTGAATCGTTTTCTAGACCACCCTAATCACTTACCTTCACTCCTTGATTTGTAACTGGTCTCTGGCCCTAGTTTGTGTTCAGTATCTTCTTGTTCTCCTTTAGTTGGCTCTGACCATGCAATGATCTCTATAAATCTTTTATCTTTTACTTCTTCTTTGGACTCACCCTATTGCTGCACTACTTACTACTTCCCTAAAGCTTCTTTCCGTGATTTTCTTCCTTGGGCTGATATCTTTTGTCTCTCTGCTGATGAAATTATCCTCCTATGTAACCTCCTAGATCCAGGCAGATATTCATGCTTTTATTTCATCTTATTGGTTTCAAGTCAAGCCTCATTTTGCTCCATATTTTTCACTTTCTTGTGCAGCTTTTAAATCACTTTTTTTATCAACTCTCTTGAGAACAAGCTCTTTTTTATTATTGCAAAATATCAATGTAAAAAGGTGCTGTCTGATACTTGGTTCCATTATTTTTACTTTACTAAATTTAAGGTTTTGAATCTTCTTGTTGTATGACTGACTTGTTAACTGCTTCAGAAATCAGTTCAAAATCATGGATTAGATGGGGGCAGCAGGGCAAGGTCTAATGTTTTTGACATATATAAAGCTTTTAATAAAGTTTGGCATGCTAATCTTCTCCATAAACTTTCTAAATATGGTGTATTTTTAAAATTTTATTAATTTATAAATTATTTTTTTTTTAACTGCAGTATTGAAATCATTCTTGAAGGTCCACATTCTTTTTCATTCCAGTAACTTGTTCTGTATTGTTTCTTATCTACATTAATTATCTTCCAAACAATCTTACATCTAAAGTGGCTCTACTTACTGACATACTCCTATTATATATACTGATTATACTCCTGTCTTGACAAAAAGTCTTCTCTTTTTGATTGCTTAAAACAGATAGCTGATCTTGAATCTGAATCTCAAATCTTTTTTCTCTAACAGCACGGGTCTTGTAGTGGCTTATGAATTTTAACTCCAACTAAACTCAATAATTTATTGTAAACTGTCACAGTATTGTTGATATTCTAAATGACCTCTATTTTTTTTTTTTTTTTCTTCGCTTCCAACAAGGTTGCAAGCAACCACTAATTAGTGTTGGAAGTTACTGGAAGAGAAAATATGAAAATTGTAAAGCAAGATAATGATTGACAGATTACTTAAAAGATTGCAAATTATATGAATCAGGAAAGCATGATGAAGGAAGTAAATTCCAAAGAACTGATGTTCGAGGAAAAAAACTTGACAAATAAGAGTTATTAAAGCACATAGGAACAGTCACAGAAAAAGGATGAGACTTAATTGAATGAGGAATAACACAAGAGTGAATTTTATTAGATGGCAAAAGAGACGCTAGCTCTTTAGAGCAGTGCCCATTACCTCACAGCCAAACAATGCGTTTTTGCACCTTGTCTAAAAGAGAAAGGGTATCATTAGAAGATCCGTCCCAGATATTGCAAGAGTATTTCATACAAGGTCGGATTTGAGATTTATAGAAATAGAGAATAGAATCCAGAGTAAAAAAGTGTTTAGCTTGATAAAGAGATGCAACTTTAGCAGATGGTTATTTTGCAATGGATTTGATATATGGTTTCCAAAAAAGATCAGAAGTAAGAGTTAATCTTAGAAAATGAAGGGTAGATGACTCATCAAGTACATTACCGTTCATAAATATAAAAAGGTCTAAATTATTGCGATAACGTTTAGCTGAAAAAAACTGAGTTTTATCTGAATTAAATTTCACCAGCCACTGTGATCCCAATGCTGTAGCAGAAGTGAGATCCTTTTCAAGTTCAAATGCCCCCTCCAAGCAATTAGAGAGAGTTAGCTTCTTATCATGACAAGAATAAATGGTAGTATCATCAACGAACAATTCCACCCTAGATGAGAGAATATCTGGAAGATCATTAATGTAAGTTAAAAGAAGTATAGGACCAAGGATTGAACCTTGAGGAACCCCTGAGGTTACAGAATAAGAAGAAGAGTGCTGTTCATCAAGGACAACTTTTGTACTATGATTGGGAAGGAAGGATTCAATAATCTTAAAGATGTTACCACATACACCGTATGGAGAAAGCTTATGGAGAAGACCAGCATGTTAAATTTTATCAAACGCTTTAGAAATGTCAAGAGCAATGGCTTTAACCTCTCCACCTTTATCTATTGCATGATAAAACCTATTGGTTTTTACTGTTAGCAAATCAGCCGCAGAGCGAGAAGATCAAAACCTATATTGATGATCAGAAAGGAAGTTATTAGATTCAAGATAAGAGATTAAATTTTTGTTAATTAAAGATTCAAAAACCT